TAGGGACCACCAGGAGCTCTGCCCAGCAACGTCCCCCACGGAACTGGGAGGGGAGTAATGGAGTCTAAGCTTTTTCACATCATACCGTCGTGTTCTACCCTAGTTTCATCTCCAAACCAATCTTTGTCATTAATGGAGGAATTAGAAACCTCTGGAAACCCTGAATGAGCTCCTTCCGTGATTACTTTTCTCCAGGTTCTACAGTTCCTGGTCTAAAGGGGCTTATCCTAAAATTTAAAAAAATGAAATTAGTCCTTCTAGGTTAGAGCTGCTTGTTACCTTGAGCTTGTGCTCCTTCCTGTTAATGATGACAGCTGTGATCTGCTGGTCCATGAATATTAAGATAGTGCAGAGGAGAGCTGGGATAATTGCAGCTATCACAGTCCACCAGGGATTGGGGCCAATGGGGCTAATAATCCACCCTCGATCATCCCTCGTTGGCTAAAGGGAAAAACAAGGCTTTATTTTTGTATCTGAAGTTAACTATAGTCATTAGGGTAAAACATATAAAACTGAATCATGGTAACCACATTTCTTTTTATTCTTGAATGAGAATTCTTTTTTTTTTAAAGCACGAAATACAGCAATTTCTTACAAAATCCATGACCTTGTTCTAAATCCCCTTTGAGAGAGTCAGTCCTCAATTATCAACTTCTTATGGAATATTCCTTAATTCTTCTCTTCCTTCCCCTACTCTCCAAACCTTATCTCAACATTTGCCCAAATGGAATATAATTAACAACAAAATCTGTTGTCAATAAAGAATTTAATGGCTTCCAAAGACAAATATAAATAACTCTGATTATGCTCCTCACTGCTCCCCTCCAGAAGCCATATAATGAATGTCTACAGCAAAGAAGAGCCAGTTACATGGACTCTCAGGAAATTGGTCCAAGGACCTCCTCCCATCAGCAGTGAAACAGGGGTCCAGGCACTAGAGACTTAAGAGAGGAGCCCAAGACTGCTGAACTTGGGGGCTAGTGTGATCCAGGACCCTCTCCAATGCTCCTGTAAGACCACTGCTCATAAACCTTATTTGGGTGTTTGTAACATACCTAACTCTAGGGGATCTCAAAAAATCCCCAAGGTACTCTGGGGAAGAAAATTGCAGTTTGTTTGGCAAGTAGTGATGGAGGATAAAAGGCCAGGGATACAAATTGGCCCCAAATTTACCAAAACTCAATGAACAAAGCAAAGACTGTTACATCCAAAGTATTTGGTTCCATTGGTTGTGACTCTAGGGGTCAAAGACTGTTCAGTAACGTCACCAAGTCCCAAAGTATAAATGGGTTAAGTACTGAATGTTTACAAAATCTATGTTACCTTCATAACAATAACAATAAGTGGTAGTTAAAGTGTTAGGTCAACACAAAAACTTACTAACCCCTGACCGACATTAACCCACTAGCAATAGTACTAGCCTTCAGACTGGGTCTTGGCCACTGGGGGCCACGTGGGGTAGCACAGAAGAGAAAATAGAAGAAAACTTCTTCTCTGCTTCCTGAAAGCGAGGCCTGCCCATGAGCAACATTTTCTTTGACATTCTCCCATTTCCTTTCTCATCTCTCCCACCTCCTAGAGGCCTTCTTCCCAGATGTCCCAGAAATTCAGTGCCTTCTGACTATCTTAAGCCTACCCATCAGGGAACCTTTCCAAGGACTGCTTAATGCTCCCAGATTACTTATTTTTACACAAAATCCATTTCTCCTGCAGGGTTGACCTCAAGCAGGTAAAAAGAAAAAGCTGATTGCGTTCCTTCACACAAAGGTGAGAATGATATATTCTTGGAGGTATTATATTTTCAAAGAGGGTGTTTTTAAATCCATAAATTTCTGACTGGTGGCATTTCAGTGAATTTAACAAAATAAAATAAAAAATTTTCAAGCAATATGGAAAAAGATATTTTTAACCAGGCCTACTTCAAGGAGAGAGAGGGAGAGAGGGAAGACGAAGGCCAATCGTGCAGGGTGTTTACGAGTGAACGGCCGACGTTCGCATCGTCCTTCTCCGCCCCAGCCTTCCCCATCCTCTCCTTTCCTGACTCTCCTCCGGTCACTGAGAACGCCCAGGTTTGCTCTCCTCTGCGCCCTGTAGGGATCTATGGAACTGAGCTCAGCTTGTCCGTCTCCTCAGTTTACTCAGTTAGTGCCCCCAAACTGAAATAGAGTTGGAGCCCCCATGCTTTGGTCATTTCACTTTTTGTGTAGGCTTTTGGATAAACGTTACAGATAACAGAGAGCTATACAAACGATGAATTAGGGTTGAAAAGATGTCACAGCTACTCTGGCAGAGGGACCCTAGGCTGTGGATGAGGCTCCTTGGTCAACTCACTTCCCCACAGGACAAGATCCTTGAGGGGCGGAGCAAGAGCCTCTTCATCCTTCCTGACGCCCTCACACAGCTGATGCTTCACGAAAGTGCTGTCAATCAAACCTGTTCCAGGGACCCACATTTCCATAGTCTTGGTACGTATTTATGTAAATATGCACATTCTATTGTTTTAAATTTTCACATATTGAAAACAATAAATGGCATTTATGAAAATAAGTAATACTTTTCATTCATTCAATGACATCAGGTTTTCTGTTCTCTGACTTTTCTGACTTGAACTCAGCCAAGTCTGACGAGTTTGCTTTTCTGAACGGTAAGTCGTGAGGAGCACGGTTCGCATTTAGAGGACTGCAAAATTCATGTTCAGGATAAGGAAAGGCCTTTGCAATGAACTCGGGACCAGACTCTATGAAACTACGTAAAGGCACCAAGTACCTTGAGATCTGTTTACCTTGAATACACTGGGAACTTGAAGCTTTGGTGATGGGACTCCAATCAAAAAGTCGATAATCACCATTGTGAAGATAGTGAGGAAAACAGCAAAGTCACTCACCATGGAGCGGACCTGGCATGAGAAAGGATTGGAGACGTGTCTCAAAAGGTTAAATAGAACAGAAAAGAATCTGGCTTTGTAAAAGGCTCAAAAATCCTCAGAAGAATGCTTTGATTTTATCATCCAATAAATACAAGCATATTTAACACCCCCAAAGTGTGGCTATGACAAATGAACCCTCTGACAAATTCTACCGGAAACCACTCCGAACTCTGAAGAGTTTTGTTTACAGCATGAAGGCCCAGCATTTAGGTAATAGTCCTGGGAACTCGGAATAAGATGTCCTGGGACCAGCAAGGTCCAGCTGTGCCAGCCAAGAACCTCGCAGCAGCACTGACTCCTCTTCTCTCTCTGAACTAATGTTGAATCCATCTGCAAGTCCTGCTGGATCTGCCTTCAGCGCAGGCCCAGAATCCCAGCCCTTCTCACCGCCCCCCAACTGCTCCCACCCAAATCAAAGGCACGGCAGCCTTAGTCTTTGTAATTGCAGCAAACTCCTAACCTTGCCTCTCTTCTTATTTAAAGCTGCTGGAGTGATCATTTAAAACACAAGTCAGATCATGTCAGTCCTCTACCAAAACCCCGAATGGCTCCTCATTTCACAGAGTTAAAAAACGCAGAGGCCTCCTTGGCCTGTAGGACCACATACACTGGCATCATCACCGCTCTGACCCAGCTCCCAATGCTCCCCCCACTGCAGTCACTCACTCTGCTCCAGCCGCCTCCCTGTTGTTTCTTAATCCTGCCAGACTCGATCCCACCCCAGGGTTTTGGACTTGCTCATCCCGATGCCTCACCTTCTTTTCCTCTAAGTAACCCGCTGGGTAGCTCCCTCACCTCCTTTACATTCACTCCAATGTCACTTTCCCCATTGGATCTTCTCTGATGCTCCTACTTAAAACTGGTCACCCCCCCACCATCCTGGCATGTCCTGGAATCCTTTCCTAGTCTATTTTTCTCCATAGCACTTATCACCATTTGCCTCTAAGAGGACTGACTAACCCACTTTATAGTTTAGCATAGTTTTAACAAAATATGATGCCTCTCTAATGCCCAGGGCCCACCTTATTCTGAACTTGCAATGAGACAGAGCCAAATATATCTTAGCCACACGTAACATCACTAACACCTTAATCTGACTTTGCTTTCCTTTGAAACCTGAGGTTTCCAGCTCCCCTCCCCTGGTTTTGTTAGTTCTCCTCCGAATGTTATGTACATTCCCTGGACATGTAGCTGCCCCACCATGAAGCCCACTCTGACCTTCTGGGGCCCAGGGTCCTCCCCTGAACTCTGATGACACTTACATCCCAGGTCAGCAGCCAGCTATTTACTCCTGTCTCATATGGGCTTGGTTGTTTCAGGGGGTTCCCCTTCCTATCTGATGGCAGAGACCAGGTTTTAAACGTCTTTTGCCTCCCCTGTAGCACCTACCCCAGGCCCGGGCAAGTAGTCAGTACACAACTGCCGCTTGTTAACTATTTGTCAGCCCAGAAACGACCCAGAGCTTATTTAATAAGTGCCTCCCTTAACCACCGTGTAGGCTCACTGACGTCTGAGGATGTGTTTTCGTTGTGAACATGTGCACAGAACATGTCTAACCAACTGAGCCCTTGACCCGTTTACACATCCCGCTCTGCAAATGTGCCAGACTGAAGCCTCACAGACAGAAAACCCACCATTTCCTCCTGACTCGAGGTCCTTCCCCTGAGGCCCCCTGAGACACTCTCCACTTGGCCTCTGGTTCTGCCCCGCCAAAACCAGTCACAAGACAACCAGTGCCATCTGCGTCAGGGACAGGTGGTTGAGGCTTCAAACCGTCACACAAATCGAGTCAGGAGCGTTTTGACCATGGCAGTCAACGGGACCACTGATTCATAAGCTATGACAAGAGCCATGCCTGGGAGGAGATTCTGGGGTCCCCTACACGTCCCAAGCAATCATCCCAATTTACTATCTTCGGGAGCCAGCTCCAGCTAGTGCATGCTCCGTGTCCCAGCATTCTGGAAATGAGACTTAATCGCTGTTAGCAACACTCCTATCGCCTTAAACTCCCCTGATAGGTTTCAATCAAAAAGTTTCAAGTATTAACCCCTCACTCCACACTGCACTTCTGTGAGAGAGGCTGCTGGGAACAGGAAGGAGAGAAGGCCCCAGTGAGGCTCATCGGGACATCTGGAGCTCTGCACCTGCCGATCTGCTCAGCAGCCGGCGGCCCGGAGCCAAGCACGGGTCCTGTTACAGGAGAAGTCTAACGCAAAAGAAGTGCAAGAGCGTGCTACCTACTCTGGTTGGGAAATAGCGGCTTGTCTTAAACGTCTTCAAGGTGCTCGAGAGGATGAAGGTGGTGAAGAAGAGAATGCAGGACCAAAAGAGCACGTCAGGAGTATAGGGTCCATGATGGCCGCACGCGGAGCCCGTGAACTCCCCGTGCATCTCCTGGCACTCCTGGAGGAACAAGCGTTCTGGGTGAGGAGAGGCAGGCACAAGGGCGTAAACAGCTGCTGCCTCCTGAGTCCACATCACTGCCATCCCACGGTTGCTGGGGCGCGCGGGCTGCCTGCAGCATCACCGTGACCTCTATGCAGTCGTGGCGCAGGTAGGGTGACTACTTACGGTCCTAAGACTCTTTTGTAAATGAAACCAGAACTGTCCCGAGCAACACAGGGTTCTGGAAGGGCCCTAGCAATTTGCATTCTTTTTATCAAAGAGGACTTTTATTACAGAGGATTTTCAAACGTGAATGTTCCTTAAGCCCCACAAACCCTGGATCTGCCCCACTTCCCTACCTGATTTCAATCCCCCCATCCTCAGTGCAAGCAGAGTGCACGTGGGAGAGAAGAGGGAGCCAACCTTCCTTTCCCTTTATATACAAGAGAATTTTGAAGGGGAAAGAAAAATCAGTAAGGATAGCTTTCTTAAAAAAAAAAAGCTTTATATCTGTCAATGCCAGAGCATACAGAAGGGCTACCCCACTTCCACCTGGAAGGTCCCCTTAAGCCTGGTGGTCACAACAGGAAGCCACCTGGCAATGCCCAGGCTTACACTGACAGTCAGGTTAGCCCAGTGGACTTCCGCTGTCACGATGTTGTGGTCCTTCCAGTACTGTAAGGTGTGGTTGTTTGGATTCTCTGGGAGAGTACACCTGCAGCTGAGGGGAGAGAAAACAAGACTCCTGAGGGAAGTAGTCAAGTATTCAGTCAAATACTTCTAGCCATGACAGGGCCAAAGGCACTGTTAAAGCCTGTGTTACTTCTCCTTGGCCCACTTCAGATCCCTGAGGTTGGTCCTACTCATTGAGACCCAACCACACTCTGATTTTTCAGTTGTTACTAAAATTGGCTCAAATCAGCATGTGGACCTTGGGTTAAATTGTACTAACAACCAAGTTTGTTATCTGATGTGCCCAACACGAGCCCATGGTTTCCTTGCTTAGTTTCTATCTCTTCAGCTCTTCCTATGAAATACAGTCTGCATGGCCGGAGGACTTGATAACCTGTTCAGCTCTCAACAGCTTTCTCTAAGCCTAAATATTTTGCCCCTTAAATCCCCATCATGTTCTTGCTCTAAAAATCAGAGTCTTCTGGAGTTATGATGCAAGCTACATTATTTCTGGTAATATCCCACTACCTTGGTCATTTCCTGGCTTCCCCAGGCTTCATCTGGCATCCAAACCAGACCAGACCAGACCTGTACCACTGGCAGCCATGTTGCTTCCCAGCCCCAGCATGCGTCACACCTGAACTGCCTCCCAGAATACTCAATTGATACAGCCATTCCTACCAACTTCGTTTCATCTCTGAATTTAATGAGCATACCTTCTAAGGATATTGCATGAGAGAATTAAAATACAAGATCTCAATAGGTTATAACGATAGGAGGAAATCAACAAAATGAAAAGAGGGCAAGCTATGATTAAAAAAAATCAAGTCCAAACTTGGAAGCAACCAAGATGTCCCTCAGTAGGTGAATGGATGTACCATAGAACATCTAGACAATTGACTATAATTAAGTGCTAAAAAAAATGAGCTATCAAGCCATGAAAAGACATAGAAGACCTTTAAGTGCATATTACAAAGTGAATGAAGCCAATCTGAAAAGCCTACGTACTGTATGATTACAATATATGACACTGTGGGAAAGGCACAACTATGCAGTAAAAAGATCAGCAGTTGCCAGGGGTTGGGTTAATGGGGAGGGATGAACAGGCAGAGCACAGAGGATTTTTAGGGCAGCTAAACTATTCTGTCTGATACTATAATGGTGGATGTGTCATTATACCTTCATCAAAACCCACAGACTGTACAATACCAAGAGTGAACGCTAATGTAAAGTA